CCCCAAAACCCCAAAACCCCAAAACCCCATTAATAAAGCCTTCTATTGAAATTATTGCTAAGATAAATGCAGCTTTTACCCTTACTACTCTACCTGAACACCATTAATTATTGCAGCACTTGTGGACTGTCTCAATAAGCTCAAGCCAGGTGAGCCTGGCTGCTAAAATACGATATAGCACAGCTTGTGCAGCGTATTCTTTAGCCATATTATCATGGGAGCTCTTCTCAGCAACATCAACAGTGAACCTTCTGTATTTTCAGGTCATTCTACAAATTTTTCCTGCAGAAGATTCTTCTATGTTCAGGTAGGTATCAGGCTCTTTCTGTTTGTCATCAGTTATTAATTTCTGTAGTATTGAGAAAGGAGTATCGTTCTTTAGTAATTCAGGATACATAAAAATCCTCTTATCTTGGAATTGAAGATTGATAGCTTCTTGTGGGAGATGAGACCCTTGGTGATAAGATTTTGCTCCATTGTAAGTGTAATTATACATTCGTTGCTTATCCTTCAGAAATGGGAGATCTGGATTTTCATTACTATAAGTTATCCCAGGTGCTAATGGAGGATTTCTATATTTACGACTGTAGTCATCTTCTCTCTTTCTTTTGTAACCATGTGGCATTCTCTTTTCATAAGTTGGTCTTGACTTCTGGTATCTATGTTCATGAGTCATGTGCTCAGGCTCTGGAGGTCGGAGAGTTTGTTTTTTTGAATGATAATGCTCTTTTTCAGGTATATATTCTTGCTTAATACTTCTTTCTTGCTTAAGATTCTGGATATTCTGAGGATGATTACTCTTGGAATTCTCAATTCTTGGACCAACTTGATGGTGCTGAGGAGGAAGTTTCTCTTTAGGAGCCGATGAAAGAGCAGTGGTATCTGCTCCAATATAAATCTTTTGACCCCCATAATCCTTTTGATGTTGATCAGCAATCTTAATTAAGTCTTCCTTAATCTTTGGATGAGTGTCAAGCCATTGCTTGTAGAGGATTGGGAAGGTTAATTTCATTGCAATATCTCAAGCGATATGCTTGCTCTTCTTCTTACCAACAAGGGTTACCTGTCAAATAAGCTCTTGCTTCAACTTGATGATACATCTCTGCTTTTGTTTCTGCTCTACAAAATCGATTGTCGGACGAAAATGGAGAACGCTTTCACAAGTTTGGATGAATAATGAGACGACGTCATTAACTTTAATCTTGATATCTTCGAGCTTAATGTCTTTTCTTGCAAATTGGGAGAGACTTTCTCTCTGAACAATGTCTGGGTCATTATCTGTTCACTCTTTGTCTCCTCAAGGCTTGACTAGTTTATTATCTTTCCGCTTATAAGGGGATGATATGAGACGTTTGACTGGAGATTGGGGAGACCCCTTTAGAAATTCGCTTACTTGTTCTTTAATACTCTCACAGTTTATTACCAAGGGTTTATCAAAGTACATCTTGTAGGTATACTCAAGGTTGGTGAGAGAAAAGGGAGCAGTTACTGAGAACACCTTTGTCTCAGGGTGATAATACATCGGCACCTCACCTATCTCAAGGGAAATCCACCCAAGTGGGAGTTCTATTTTAGAATCCTCATTAATAGCCATTTTAATAATCTTCTTGGTGCAAAATTGGAAGAACTGTTCTTAGTCCTGGCTGAGTATCATGGGCGTACTTAATTCAATTTAGAAATACCTTTTGGGGTTTTGGGGTTTTGGGGTTTTGGGGAGATCGGAAG